GTGCAGTATATCTAAGAATCTAAGAAGTTCTGCTAAACCAAACCAATGGTCCATTTAGTGCCACATTATGGGTCACACCATAGCCAATCAGACACACTAAAGGTAGGGCATTTTTTTTGACTTAGTAGAGCTTTTTAGGATCTAAATGTTATATCGACTAGGGATCATGGGACCTGCAATCCAATGCAGATAGAGAGCATGGGCCATGAAGAGGCCATCTATAATTAGGGGGAGGTGCACATTCTCCTAATAATGCCTTGAAATATTCTTCCTAATCCCACATATGCTATGTCACTACGCAGCAGTGAATTACCGCAATTCTGCCTCACAATATCATCAAGACACCAAGAATTCTTTGTTTTGCACTTTAAAATACATTTCTTTAGCACCTGCTATATTCATGTGAAGCTTTTTAAAAGCTCTTAACAAGATGGCAGATTCACCTGAAGCATAGAAGGAACGGACTGAACTGACATTCAGCCGGAGCTCAGTTGCTGGTATGCGCACCTGTCATTTCCATCAAGCCCAGGCACAGCAGTTGGGTGAACAATCTTGAGTTGACATTATGCCTGCCTTTATCCTGCATTATGGATTCCTATATTCCAGGATAACTGGTTTGCTTCACTCATCTTCCCAGAAAATCCTGATCAGCCTTGTTGGATAGGAGTTAGCCAAGCTGGCTTGATGAAATGAACAGGATTTCTGCTTACCCAAACTTTGGAAATGAAAATCCTTACCACTCTTGGGTCCCTATCTGAATTTTGAGAAAAATATTGCAGTCCCCTTTAAAAAGACACATTGAAGCCTCATGGAGTCAATGCTTTGCAGAATCAAGGCTTTATTGAGGAGGTAAGAGTCAGGCATGGCAGCTGCTCTTCTCAACTGACTGTCTCGATAGAAGTTGGAACTGATGCCTGGTTAGGAATCCAGTTGTTCACCAACCCCCCTCCTCCTTTATGCTATTTCATGAAACAGCACTGGTTGACTCTTTGCAACTGTGAGTCATTTAAAGAAAGCTTTTTTGTCTGCACGACTGGACAGCCTTCCCGTCTGCTGCAAAGGAATTTCATATTCCATTCTCTCCCCCCCCCCCCCAAATAGCTCTAGGTCTGTAACAGTTTATTGCAGGGAACATCCCCCACACTCGTCTTTTCAATGGGGGTGGGAAAAGGAGAGGAATCCATCCTGCACAGATCAAACCTCTTCGCTCTCATTCTCTGGCAGCTGGGATTCTTAATGTGTTAAGCAGGCCTCTGCTTCACTGGGGGAAAAATCTCCATTTCAAAGCCTGTGTGTCAATTTTAAGTGGGAATGCAAAAATGTCCTATGCAACATACTTTGGGGAGGAGGAAAGGGGATGGGTCAGAGATCGATTCATTTTTGTAAGTTAAATTGATTTTTTTTTATTAAAAAAAACATGCTAGCTTCTGAGAGGATAACAAAAGTTTATTTCCCTCCCCCCCTTTCTTAATTAGCCTTGCAAACAAAAAGGGGGTAAGGGAGCCAAAGGAGGATGGGGTTGAAGAAGTCGAACTGACCTGAAAGAGGGTAAACATGGAGCTGGAGGGGAGGGGCAGGATAGAGAAAGAAATGAACTTTAGACATTTGTTAAAATACACACGTATGTGGAAAAGCGCTTGCCCGATATAAGCCATTCTGACATGAGATGTTTTTTCTTTTCCATAGGCTTCTAAAACCAGGAGGATTAAATTAAGAACAAAAGGGGGGGAGATAAACCCATGGCCCCAACATTCCTTGGCAGAGGAAGCCCACTCTCAGCTCTCCTCTGGTCCACGTTGCAAAGTTCTGTCCAAAGGAGACAGAAAGTGGGGAGGGGAGGGTTTTTACTAAAAGTTTGGGTGTAGTCCCTGCTTGTGTGGGGCAAGCAGCTGAAAGACCCTTTGCCAAAAAAGGGAACTAATGAGATCCATCTGTTGATGTATTTGCAAGGTTCATAAGACAGGTTTATAGGAAATGCTGAAAAAAAGAACCACATACCATAGATATAATTGGCTATTTTAAAAAAATGGAAAAAGGATAACAGAACTTAGAACTTGATCCTCTTGCATAGCAATTGATGCCATCTAAACTGGATTTTAATATGAGCTTTAATATGAGCTAGAAAAAAAAACCCCAAAACTGGATCTTGAAAAAGTAATGGGGAAAGGGAAATGCCTGTCTCATACTGATAGGAGAAAAAAGTGTGTGGGGAGGTGGGGGTGGGAAGAGACATTTGTAGTTGAAAGCTTTGGACAAAATGTTGTTCTTGAGTTCGGGAGCTCTACTGGAATATGTGGAAAACACCTCTAATTTACAACTTCTTGTCACCAGATGCTTTGGGAAAAACCCAGTATTATGGTAGAAGGCAAAATACTGTAACTGGAAATAATAGAGATATTGACATGCTTCATTGCATAGTAGGCAATACTCAAGTACAGACTATACGCAGTGTTGCATTACACAATAACATTATTTTTTTTAGAAATAAAACCAGATAGAATGTGTTTTTTTGTCCTAGATGGACACATGTTTATAGCATTCCAGGGTCCATCTGGTTCACTTTAGTCACCCTTTGATTTGGGGCTTTAAACCACACTCTTTTCTCTGCTGAAGAGAAAGAGAGTGTGTATCTGTTTGTGTGTGTGCGTGCGTGCGTGCATGCAAGTAGTGTTAAGAAGAAAAATTAGAGGTTTTCATTTCCATCTCATTTTAAAATGCAGGATTCAGAAATAGGAAGCCTTTCTTACTTACTTCCTCCTCTTACCCCTAGTATTATAAATCCCATTTTGCATTATTGTTTCCTCACCCAACCAAAATTGTTTCCTTTATGATCCTTTTGATGCAAAAGGAGTGGGAAATTATTTATTTCTTTTCAAAGTTTTAAAACTTTTCACACCAAATGACACAAGAAAGCAACCAACACTATTAGCAATACAAAAGCAGTCTTAAGAAAGACAATCTGCAAAGGGCAGGAGGGACGAGAGGCCATCAGAGTCTGCCACAGAGGAAAAAAATTGAAATTTAATGGGAGGTTTTTTTTAAAAAAAAAAAAAAATTCAACAATAGGTTTCCTTTTTTCTCTCAACTTCAACTATCCTTTAGCATCCTGTCCCGTATTTAGATTCAATTGCTAAGAGCTGTTATCATGCTAGAGAAATTGATGGAATTTGCTAACTAACTTCTAGGTAGGATTAGAGCGTTTCAGTAAAGCCTTTTAGAAACTTTGTTTAACTCAAATGGCATTTTGTGGTTTTTTTTATAAATAATTCCAATTGATTTTAATTCCATCCCAATTGAAATTATTCAAATATTCTAAAAAAGTTCAAAAGAAGTGAACTGTTAGAAGCATATTATTTAGAATATTGATCATCTTTTTTAAAAAAAACCAATAAATTTTAAAACTGAAAACATTCCTTCTACCATAATAATTTAGACAGCAATTCTTAATTCTCATAAAAAATGCTCAGAATCCAATTGTTAAGATATACCCTTTCACTGAAATGATACAGGCTTGCCAAAATTCTCAATATATTGGAAGTAAAAAGAGAAAAAAATTACAGCAGCCATATCTTTTCACAGCTTGCATAACAGATGCAAAACGCATACGTGTGCAGTCATCATATGCAAGGACTCAAAAGAAGAATTTCACATTTTGTTTGATGCTTTTTTCATAAAAAATGGTAAGAAGTTAATCTATCTGCAGTGATTTTCATGGAAACAGACTGTTCCTTAATGTTGTCGGAAATCAATTCCAAATCGGAGACATTTGATTTAGGGAAAAAAATGGTTTAGATATGTTTTCACTGAATATATTACTTTTTTTGCTATTACAGTTGTTTTGTTGAATAATGAATTGTTACTTTCCTGTAAGAGGCATTTAGAAAAATTACCCAAACATCTATGAAATTTCTTGAGAGCTGTAATAGAAGTTGAGAAAGGCATTCAAAAAAAGACAGTTGTAGAAGACAAAAATGTAGGGTTTTTTCCTCCTATATTGGGAAAAACTGGTAAAATAAGGTTCCTATGCTTCTCAAAGGACAGTATTTTTCAAGTGAAATAAATTCCCCTTAAACTTTCTAAAATGACACCAAACATGTCCCAATAGCTTTTTTTTTTTAAAGTTCATTTTTTAAGATCCTGCTCTTCAAGCAAATGGATATTGGCTGTGAAATATCAGTTGCATTTTTAGTTACCTTTTAGAAGCTAAGTGGGTATCTCACAAATGAATTGCTTTAGAGGCGGCCGCTGCTGCTTTTGAAAAATACTCAAACTGAATTTGCAAAGAACAAGTCTGTTTAATAAAGGAAATGTCATTTTTAAAAAGCTACCTTTTGTACAAAACATCTAAGAAAAAATAGAAACATACAAATGTAACAGAAAGAGAATTCTGTGGCTTAAGGCAAGAGAGACTTTCTTGAAGGTCATAATTCTCTAAAAGAAATAAACATAAGAAAATCTGCACAGCCAAGGCCCAAATTTCAGCAAAGGCAAGAAGGCTCAGCCATCTTCTCCAAACCCACTCCAAGTATATTTTCAAAGACAGAACATTGCTTGCCAAACTTTCAGCCTCGAAAGGGAAAAAATGAGATGGGAGAAGTCTTCCTGGAAATATATCAAAAACTGTAGCCTGCTAAAGGGAAGATGTTTAAGGTGGGTTGGGTGCTGGGAGTGATGCAAAACCTGGCTCTCATGAAAAGCTGAGGCAAAAATAGCCTGTTAGGGGCCAACCCAAACAGCACACAGTCCCCCTGGCTCCAGAGAGAGAGAAGGAAAGAAACAGAAAAAGGAGAAAAATAGCATTCAAAGAGATGAAAAAATAGTTTTTCTTTCTTTGACCCCTCCATACTTTTCTGAAAAATAAAGTCCTTGCTGCTGTTCTGTTTTTAAATAGAAATATATAATTAAATTTACAGATGCTATTTACAATTTTAATTACAAAAAAGACACCCTTTAATAGTTAATTAAAAACCTAAAGCAAAGAAGTTTAGAACTTGTTTTAATTAAAATGAGACAGTTTTAAATACTTGGAGGTTTTCTCCTTTGTTTTTCTTTTTTCCTCTCAGATTGTCAGAAGAGTTTCAGCTTTATGTAGCAAAGAAGCCCCACTCCCCAAATTGCAGGGAGATTTTTTCCAAAGAATGTCTCCCCATACATACAAACAGAATCAGCTCATGGAGGGAGATGCAGGCAGATCTGGTGTTTTCTTGAAATTCTGGAGCTGGCAATCTGCTTCCTCCATTTCCTTTCTCAAACAGTAGTCTCCCCATGTTTGCTGTTAGTTAGCCTGGTATAAAACTTCCTCCAGGAATGAAGGGTTTTCCCAGACCAGATCCAGAAACCTGAGGTGATGCCCACAATCAGCGTCATGAGATACTTGATCATGTAGACAGTGAAGTCAGGGGTCATGCGTGGGGTGTATTGAAGTGGACAAGGAATGGCCAAACTCTTACAGTTTTGGCTAATCCAGCTCCGCTCCCAGTGCTCACGGAAGGCCTGTTCATAGAAGTAGCAAGCAATAACAATAGTGGCTGGCACCGTATAAAGGACACTGAAGACCCCAATGCGCACCATGAGACGCTCCAGCTTCTCTGTCTTGGTGCCCCCATGTTTCATGATGGTACGGATACGGAAAAGTGATACAAAGCCTGCCAAAAGAAATGAGGTGCCAATGAAGAGGTAGACAAAGAGGGGAGCTAAAACAAAGCCCCGAAGTGGATCTATGTTGTTGAGCCCCACAAAACAGACACCACTGAGGAGGTCACCATCAATTTGCCCCATGGCCAGGATGGTGATCGTTTTGATAGCAGGCACAGCCCAAGCTGCCAAGTGAAAGTATTGTGAGTTGGCTTCAATGGCTTCATGTCCCCACTTCATGCCAGCTGCAAGAAACCAAGTGAGGGACAAGATGACCCACCAGATGGAACTGGCCATGCTGAAGAAGTACAGCATCATGAAAAGTATGGTGCAGCCTTCCTTTTTGGTACCCTGAACCACTGTCCGATAGCCATCATCTTGGAAACGTTCATTGCACACCACCCGTTCCTCCAATACAAATCCTGCAATATAGGCTACAGAGACCATGGTATAACAGCCAGAGAGGAAGATGATGGGTCGTTCTGGATAGCGAAAGCGCTGCATGTCCACCAGATAGGTAGTGACAGTAAAGAAAGTAGAGGCACAGCACAGAACAGACCAAATGAGAATCCAGATGCGTGCAAAGTGAATCTCTTCTTGATTGAAGAACATGTGTCCATCATTCTTGGTGGGTTCACATGGTGCCGCACAGTCTTTTTCTCCAAGAAACTTGTAGTTGAGGTAGCTGGGCACTTTAAGGACTCGTGGGCAGTGGAAAGGGCGGTCCAGAGTGGCATAACGGGGTGGCCCAGCAGTACCATGTCCAGCAATTGGAGTGGCACTTGTAATCAGTGCTGGAGACCCACCTTCCTCTGAATGGTTCTGTCCCACACAGATCTGCTCTGCCCCATGGCGGGGAAAGTTCTCACAGCGCAGTCGTTCTGGCCACTGGAAGCCAAATTTATTCATGAGGGCTTCACAGCCTTGGCGTGCTCTCTCACAAATGGATCGGCATGGTGGAATGGCTTGCTCCAAGACAGTGCACACAGGGGCATACATAGAGCAGAGGAAGAACTTGAGCTCCGGGGAGCACTGGACCTTCACCAGAGGGTAGAACTGGTGGACCTCCAAGCCAGCATCCTCTTGGCTGGTATGTCCCAGCAAATTGGGCATGATCGTCTGGTTATATGCAATGTCAGTGCACAACGGAATGGATATAGGCTGGCAGAAGCCATGGTCGGGGATAGAAATGCCCTTCTCTCCGTGGAACTGGGCCCAGCAGGATCCCAAGAGCAACGGCAGCAGCAGGCAACGGGCCAAGGACGCGTCGGCAAGGCGCATGGTGGTTTGCTCCCCGTCAGCTCTTACGGACACCCGAGCCCTTTTGTCTCCTCCCCAGGACGAACTGGGATCTGTCACTTCCTTCGGGAACCCTAGTCCTGGCAAAACTTTTTGGGATCAGCCTCGGAGAGCTGAGGGAGGCAAAACTCCACTCACCCAGCGGGAACTCTTCCTCGCCGCGCGTCTCTCCAAGCGCCTTTCGCTTCCCTTTGTGTCTTCCCTCCCCAATTAGTCTGTTTCAAAGGAGGGCCCCCGGGCTGAGTTGAGCTTCGCCCAGCCTTCTCCTCTTTCTCCTCCTAACTTAATCAATTCCAGGCCGGCCCCTTCTCTCTTTCCCTCCCCCCCCCCGCCCGGCCGCTTGCATCTCCATCAAAGAGATGCCTAAACCCCTTCCCAAAATTTATTCTCGCCCAATCAGATTCAAATTCAGGGACCAGCCCTCGTCCCGTCCTTCCTTCCTGGGATTGGTCAGCCACCTCGGGGTGGGGGGGAGGAATAAAGAGATCACGTTATTCCGAAAGCCAAATTTCTTTCCTGCCCTGATGTCCTGTGGCTGTTTTTAAGGAGAAATAATTTACCTTGGATTATCATTATTCACCTTCAGTCATAATTAAACTATTAGCAGGCAGATTACCTTAGTTATACGGCAAATTCAACTCTTTCCCCCTTCCCCAATTCTAATAAATAACGTGTAAACCTCTTCCTTCTGCAAACAATTTCCAACCAAAACACACAAAAAAAATCTGCCTGGAGCACAAGCTAATGTGTTTCACAGGGTTTCTCCCCCCCCCTCCTTTTGCCTGTGCTACTTTTGTTTTTTTAACCAATGAACTCCCTTGTATTTTGTTTGGGAAAGCCCTCCGTTTCACACAATAGATTAATTGTTGCAATCTAGGTAGAAAAATTATTCTTCCCAATATCTTTTCTGGCTAGCATAATGAGTGAGAGAGAAGGAAGAATGTTCTGCCTATCATTGCTCTTCAATAAACAAAACTACATGTATGGCAGGCTTAGAGGCCTTCCTGTCTGTATTATTTCCTTATATAACAACTTAAGGTTTTCAGGACTGGTTCCTTCGGATTAAATAATAATAACGTCTGTGAGGAGAAGGGTGGAGGGGGTGGAGGACAAGGAGGAGGAGGAGGAGGAGGAGAATGTAGGTAACCATCCAGGTCCTGTTTGAAAACATTTATCCATCCCTGTTCTAGGCTTATTGTTTCACTGGTTAACATTCCTCACCATCAGGAAAGCTTCCTAGCATTCACATTGAATCTTCTTTCTTTTAACTTTTATTGTTTTTGTCCTGTTTTGGGTTTCAAACAAAAACATGTCCACCCCATTAACAGCCTTCTACTGTAGATATTAAAAGATGGCTATCCTATTTCTTTTTAGTCTTCTGGTTTGCAAACTGTGTATGTCCAATTCTTTTCTCCACTTTTCACAGAGCATGGCTTTCCATTCCATGCTCTTTTTTTTTTTTTTTTTTTGCGGTAGCTCTCCCCTGAACCAATTCCTGATTATTTGTGCCCCTTTTAAAATGCAGTGCCCAGAAGTAGACATGGTGCTTCAGTTGTGGTCTAACCCAAAGCAGAGTACAATAGAACTGTTACCTCCTGTGATTTGAATGCAATACTGTTGCTAATACAGATTATAATTAGTCTTATGGCCAATTTTGACTTAATATAGACAAGTATAGTCAAATACTCCAAGACTGCAGAGAGAATCCAAATTCCAAATGCCTCTGATGCCAAGTGCAATTGCAGCGTAGCCCAGCAGCATCTCAAAAGTTATTTCAAACTCAAAAGAAAGAGGAAAAGAATATACCTTCTTAACCAGAACAGTACCACTGATGCTAACTGCCAAAATTAATTCAAAAAGTGACCTCTGAAATATGACTCATGACTATGAGTGGGGTTGGAATAGTGACTGGAAGTGCAAAAAGAATGGATTGAATAGCCCTTACTATGAGAGGGAAAGTGGTGGCCAAATTGGAAAGTTTACAATAGTGGGAATATCTGCAGCTCAGGTGTAGGATGAGGGTGAAAGTTCGTTCTTCGAGCTTGTAGGTTGGTTTCCAAACGTTTCATTACCAGGCTAGGTAACATTTAATGTTTAATGCCACTGAAGATGTTACCTGGCCTGGTAATGAAACGTTCAGAAACCGACCCACAAGCTTGGAGAACCCACCTTCAACCTCAAATTGGAAAGTATTCAGGAGCAATGTTAGGCAGAGCAACTTAGATTTCAAAAAATGAGCTACTTCCAATGCTGTGCTAGGGCTAACCATCTAATCAGTTGAAAACTATACTATGCCACATGAAATTTGCTTCCCTTATTGCATCTCTTCTGATTTGATAAGCAAAGTAATTGGCTGATTTCTCAGTATGATTGTCCTCCTTCATTTACACATAACTGTGCTTTTGGGTCTGGCTGTTTAAGAAGGCTACAGAGATTAGAGGAAAAGGCTAACTGCTCTGATCCCACCCATTACTGGTCACTGGAATATATATCAATAAAGGAGAATATTCGAGCTCAGGGTTGAAATGACGAATGCTCTTTGAGTGTGGTTGTTTTCTTGCAGATGGTGCACTGATGATGCTGCCCAGTTTAGGTAATGAAAAATCTGCAAGAAAATAACCAAGCTGAGAGAGCACCAAGGACCCCTGACTGGACTATATCTCTAATATCTGGTGGTGAAGCTTAGCAATTTTTTCACATAGATGGATGTTCATATAATTAAGGATACCTTAAGCCTATTGTGATCACTGGGGACAAAATCAAGGGGACAATCAAGGGTGGAAGATCAGTGAGTGCCTGCCCAAACCTATGTTCTTCTCTGGAATAGAAATAGCACTATATGCAACATGTGTCCCACAAAGTACAAGACTTCCTTATCCTTGTTGCCATTTCTAGTTATGAAAAATTTAGGACTCAAGGACAGTGGAACTGGTGTTGGAACTAGGCCCAGAATATATTGAAGTGAATGAGTCTCTCATCCAGAAGGGCACAGAAAAGTTACACAATCTATGAATACAAGTAGTAATGATATAAATGACATGGCCTATCTGGTCAAAGCAAAACGGTATAGTGTAGATTATTCTCTTCTTGCAATACTTTGATAGGAGAAAGTATAGCTGATAAATATTTTTCTTCAATGCCCACTTCTTTTAACAGGAATGGATAGTATCTAATGTTTCAAACGTAAATCTATGATTTTCAGCATCCCTCATCATTAGCTGTATGTCCTGGGAAGGTGATAGTTTTCCATGCAAACTAATTTATTTTTTGAAGAGGAATGTTGGGAAAGCTGCAAATCAAAGATGGTTTATAGATAATTATAGATAGTTGAGAGGTGTACCAGTAGCAATCAGTGAAAAAAGTTCAATAGGCTTTATATCATCAGAATGGGGAAATCAATAACCTATTTCTTATAATCTCTTAAAATTTAATTTTTTGTATTCAGAGGCAAATTATCTGATTGTGAGATGCTATGGATAGATGACAGAGGTGAAAATTTTGATTAAATAAAACAGTCTGTTGCTTTGAAACTGTTCTTTTACAATCCAGACCACAGCAGCCTGAAATCTATTCCTAATTGCCACTTCCTTATGGGATGGATCTTTCCAATATTGATGAGTCAAAAAGGAAAAGTAATGTGGAAATAGTGAGAAAAAAAACCACATTCCTCAAATGCTGAAAGCATAACCAAATCTTGGAATTGCATTATACCCATTGGTGATGGCTACTGAACTGAATCTGCCATAGCTCCTAAGTTTATTGCCACGATATAAAAACTGCTGGATCAATTAAAAGGCCAAAAGCTAAAAGGCCAAAAAATCTTAAATGCTTATATACAAATGCTCAAAGCTTGGGGAAGAAACAGGGCGAACTAGAAGCAATAGTACATGAAGGGAGGGTATGACATAGTTGGCATTACAGAAACCTGGTGGGACAAAACCCATGAATGGAATGGACTGATGGATGGATACAAATTGTTCAAAAGAAACAGGTCTACAAAAAGAGGAGGGGGAGTTGCACCATATGTAAGAGAACACTACATATCTACAGAAATGCACATGATCCAAGATAAAATCTCTCCAGAATGTATATGGGTCAATATAAAAGAGAAAAAAAGTGTCATTGCCATAGGTATGTATTACAGGCCACCCAACCAATCAGAAGAAATAGATGAACTCTTTGCCAACCAGTTAGCAAATGTAAGCAGGAAGCATACCATAGTAGTAATGGGAGATTTTAACTATCCAGATATCAACTGGGAGACAAACTCTGCAGCAAGCAGGAGATCAAACAGATTCCTAACCAGCTTAGCTGACAACTTTGTCACCCAAAAGGTGGAGGAGGGAACTAGACATAAAACTATACTGGACTTAATTCTTACTAATAGAGAAGAAATGATAGAGAGAATTGAAGTTGCCAGAATTGAAGTTGCCAGGTGAAAGTGACCATGTCATACTGGAATTTAATATAATGCAAACACTAGCAATTGAAGACAATCCAACTAGTGTCTTAAACTTCAAAAGAGCTGACTTTAACAAACTCAAAGAGAACCTAGGAAAAATCCCATGAATGAAAATCCTAAAGGGAAAACAACTCAAGAATCGTGGGAAACTCTGAAAAATGTGATCATAAAAGCCCATACAAGCACAATACCACTGAAAAAGAAAAAACAAGAAATTCAAGAAGAAACCAACATAGTTACACAAAGATCTCTCTGAATGACAAAAAGGACAAATACAAAAAATGGAAAGAGGGGAACATAACTAAGGCTGATTATCAGCAGACAGCCAGAACATGCAAAGATGAAGTCAGGAAAGCAAAGGCTCAGAACAAACAAACACTTGCAACAAAAATCAAGGATAATAAAAAAAGTTTCTTCCAATATATTAACAACAAGAAAAAAATCAAGGAAACTATAGGTCCACTAAAGAGAGAAGATGGCAAGGAAATAACAGGCAACAGAAAGAAAGCAGAGCTGCTTAACTGATAATTTGCATCAGTCTTCACACAAAAAGAAACTATAGCCCAACAAACAAACAAAAAAAAAAAACACTGCAAAAGACAAACTAGAAGCAAAAATTAAAACAATCAAGAAA